CGGGAAGGAGGCAAGGAGGAACGATGTGTGCTGATTAATTGCCTCCACATGTATAAATGTATCTAGTCTTTCCCTTCTTCTACAACAAGCCTAAATAAAAATACTGCTTAACATTTGCTTTCTCGCCTCCCTTCTCATCTCCATGTCCTAAATAGTTAACTCACATCTGTGCCTACAATGTCATAAAGAAAATGTAATTAATCTGAGTAATCTATTATTGAAATAACTATCAACTATTTCAGCAATCGATTTATTGTTGAATGAATTATAGACAATCTAAGAAAACGCCACTAGCTGAAAGAGCAACCCAGTCAGAGGAGTAAATATGCCAATATTGTAAACATTTGCATTTTAGTCTGTGAATATATCCACGACTCTTCAAATTGAGTAGTTTTAATTTCACTTGGTTTAAAACATTTTTTGCTATCTGATTATTAATAAAAAAAAAGAAACCTAAAACACAGAAAAAAAAAAAGCTTAATGGTTGAGCGAAATAGTAATAGCTGCAACTAGCATGCTGCGTATAAACGCATTGACAGTGGACGTGTTCTATTAGACCAAGGTTCCTATACATTTTATTAACTTTCTAGACTTTTCAGACTTAGTTTCCCATAGTTCTTTGCATTTTAACAACAAAAAACAAAAAAAAACAATCCCTAAGCTTGCCTCAGAGTTTCGGCAGTATCTTCAGTAATTAAATATGTAATTTGGAACAAAGGAATATTCAACAAATGTTAGAAGAACCAAAAACTAAAGGAAAAAAAAATTAAGGAAAGATTAAAGGATACAAGGAAAGAAAGGATGAGAAACATGAGAGAGGAGGGGAAGCAGGAAGGAAAGAATGCATTTGTACACATGGAATTTTCAAGTTGCAGTGTCCGATGAAATGTTCTCCATGCACAACCTTTGAATTGGCTTGAGAAGACCATTTGTTTTTGAAAAAACCCGAAAATCACTAAAAAAGTATCCACTTTGATCCAGCAGAGCTGCATCTGTATGACTGTTGTGTTACTTCCTTATATCTAGCCAGGCAGAGAGCACCAGTGCTGGGAAGAGGACGCCGCTGGCCAGGGTCTGTGCTGGAGGTAAATCAAAATGGCTTTTTAAAAAGCAACCTAAAAATGCATGAAGGGCATCCCTTATTTTATTGTGTCAACATAATTTCATGTTGACACACAATTATTATATCTATATTCCATTGTGACTGGAAGAAAAGCTGCACAACCTACGTCACAACCACAACCAGTCCCTGACCCCAGGCTCACACCGACTCCGGTCTTACTGTTGTGGTGCGGTGGGTGCGGCGCCGCAGTGATTCCAAGTCATTAAAAAGACGTAAACCTCTCTCACCGGCTGCTGAGCTGTCCGGCTGCGGTTACCGAGACACTCCGGCGCTGCAGAAAATTCCGCAAGAAAGCTATCCTTGCGGCGTGCCGGAGCCCTCCGCAACAAGCTCTCGCAAATATCCTTATTTGGGCCGTGTTATCGCGTGAAGTTACGTGAACTCAAGTGAACTTCTGTTCTTGCGAGTTAAATCTCCGGACCTGTTGCCGGAGCCGCAGAGCCGCACTGCACCGTAGTCAAAAGGGCGTGTGAGAGGGGGTGTGCCGGAGTTGCCGTCTCCGTCAGCTCGGTAACCGCACCGGAGCCAGTGTGAGCAAGGGGTGATTGGTTTCCAGCAATGTGCTTTTACATAAAAGTTCAGATTCTTCAACGTCAACAGCCCCCGCTCATTTGTCTCTATGATGATGATCTATGATGATTCTCTATCATGAATTAATAGTATTTGTCACAAATTGACAGAGCAAGGCCCTAGTGAGTTAGTGGACTGTGTGTGCATATATTTGGGACATTTTGCACAAATCTGACCATGTTTGGATGGAAGGAAATCCAAATTATTTCAAGCTTTTGGACTCAATTATTGATCCTTAACTTATAGGAAGTCTGTCAAAAAGGACATACACAGGAAAATAGCATTCCTACTGGCAAAGAATTAAGAAACTAGTCATCAAAAACATCTATATTAAACAAATAACAAAAGCTGTGTAAAAACAGCATATGTCTTTCATGTATTATAGCCTGTTATCACAGCTATAAGGTAATGGAGTTTGAAAATCCCCATCATCCCTCTATGAAAACTTAATCAGATGAAAACAGCCAGAGAGGCTTTTATCCATCATCAGTTAAAAGCTACAATGATTTGCGCCTATTTTCTGATTGCCACCTTTTACCTCCACGAGCCCGTTGTGTTCATAGCCCGTGACAAATTTACTTCAAAGGAAGCCTCCATCATGACCCATTTTCCCATCCTGCAACAGCTGTGCTTCGGTCCAATAAGGCACAAAGCTTGGATTCCCCCATGAGCCCCTGCTGTACGAGGAGCTGGTGAGGCAAATGACGAGCACATACTGGAGCACCAAGACAGCCACATGAGGAGGCGCTGAAGGTAATCACTTAAAATATTGCTTATATTATCAGCTTGAGGATTACATAGCCACATGAAGGAGGTATAAAACAGTAAAAAGAGAGGTACACCGAAGAAGAACACAACAGATATTGCACTTATAAGCTCTGAATCACTGTTTTTCATAACCAGATGTGATAGATGACTCATGCAGCTTTTTCTCCCAATAACTCCTGCGAGCACTCAAGGTCTATTCACAAAGAGCAAAGAAGTAAAGCAAACTAATTGAAAACCTTCAGCGGAGCTCTGCATGGTTCCTTTAATCTACATCTGCGCAGCACGACAAGAAAAACTGAATTTATTAAATGACAATATGGCTTGGTAATTGAGTCAGATCAAGAAAAAGCATTGCTTCCAAACAATTAAAGGTTCACCCATCCTACAAGGCTGAGTTTGAGGCAATTATGTCCAACATATGATGAGAAATATTTGTGTTGTAATTACAGGGTCCCGCAGAATTATTCCCACCTTATTTTTATCCTTTTAAAATTTCAGACTTTTAAACACTGCTCAAAAAAATTAAAGGAACACTTTAAAAAAAACACATCAGATCTCAATGAGGCAAAAAATCATGCTGTTTATCTATACTGATATGGACTGGGTGATGTGTTAGGAACAAAAGGATGCCACATCATTTGATGGAAATGAAAATTATCAACCTACAGAGGGCTGAATTCAAATACACCCCAAAAATTACAATGAAAAAAATATGCAGCAGGCTAGTCCATTTTGCTGAAATTTCATTGCAGCAACTCAAAATGGTATTCAGTAATTTGAATGGTCCCCACGTGCGTGTATGCATGCCTGACAAGATCGGGGCATGTTCCTGATGAGACGATGAATGGTGTCCTGGGGTATCTCGTCCCAGATCTGGGCCAGGGCATCACTGAGCTCCTGGACAGTCTGAGGTGCAACCTGTCTGCGTCGGATGGATTAAAACATAATGTCCCAGAGGTGTTCTATTGGATTTAGGTCAGGCGAGCATGGGGGCCAATCAATGGTATCAATTCCTTCATCCTCCAGGAACTGCCTGCATACTCTCGCCACATGAGGCCGGGCATTGTCATGCACCCGGAGAAACCCAGGACCCTCTGCACCAGCATAGGGTGTGACAATGGGTGCAAGGATTTCATCCCGATACCTAATGGGAGTCAGGGTGCTGTTGTCTAGCCTGTATAGGTCTGTGCGTCTCTCCATGGATATGCCTCCCCAGACCATCACTGACCCACCACCAAACCGGTCATGCTGAACGATGTTACAGGCAGCATAACATTCTCCAAGGCTTCTCCAGACCCTTTCACGTCTGTCACAGGTCCTCAGGGTGAACCTACTCTCATCTATGAAAAGCACAGGGCGCCAGTGGTGGACTTGCCAAATAGGGTGTTCTGTAGCAAATGCCAATCAAGCTCCACGGTGCCGGGCAGTGAGCACAGGGCCCACTGGAGGACGTCGGGCCCTCAGGCCACCCTCTTGAAGTCTGTTTCTGATTGTTTGGTCAGAGACATTCACACCAGTGGCCTGCTGGAGGTCATTTTGTAGGGCTCTGGCAGTGCTCCTCCTGCTCCTCCTTGCACAAAGGAGCAGATACCATCCTGCTTATTGGGTTGTAGACCTTCTACGGCCCTGTCCAGCTCTCCTGGAGTAACTGCTTGTCTCCTGGAATCTCCTCCATGCTCTTGAGATTGTGCTGGGAGACACGGCAAACCTTCTGGCAATGGCACGTATTGATATGCCATCCTGGAGGAGTTGGACTGTCTATGTAACCTCTGTAGGGTCCAGGTAGCGCCTCATGCTAACAGTAGTGACAGTGACCCTTGCCAAATGCAAAGTTGGCGAAAAAGAGTCAGAAAAGATGAGGAGGGGGAAAAAATGTCAGTGGCCTCCACCTGTAAAACCATTCCTGTTTTGATGGTCGTCTCGTTGTTGCCCCTCTAGTACACCTGTGGTTAATTTCAATTACACCAAAGCAGCTGAAACTGATTAACAACCCCATCTGCTACTTACCTGACCAAATCATTATGCCCGAAGTTTAATTAACTTCATGCTATACTCTCATTACAAAGTGTCCCTTTAATTTTTTTTTAGCAGTGTATGTTCGCCAAGGGGATGGGTCAAATGCAAAGAGTGAAATTCCTAATCGTGGGACAGTAAAGGGATTTACATTACTTTAAATTATATTATATCGAGACTTTTCTTTAATAGACCAGGGATTTCCAAAATATTTGAAAAAGGGGAAATTACAATAGATGTGAGGAATCTCTAACAATCACGTGCCAGAAGCATGTCTCTCAAAATTAACCATTTATTACCTCAGTAGAGAAATAAAATAAATAAATAAAGAATTAGGATAAAATAGTCTGCATATCTCAAAACAAAGCCACGCAAAAGTAGAACGGGACCCACTTTGGAAGAACTCGCTTTGATTAAGTTAGGAATGTGAAGCAATGCTTTGGGATGCCACCAGTCAAATAATGCATGCTCCAGCGACAAACAAAAAACAGGCAGTCACTGTGGGGAATGCAACATGTTTCCTTACCTAGTGCCATCTCTATGATGCTCATTTGGCTCTCTGTGGGAAACAGGATTTTTGGCGGCTTGTCTGTAAAGGGAGCTGTGAAAAGACGAGCAGAATGGAGCATTAAAATCCTCATCACTCTCCCCAGTGGACTGTAGGAGTACGATTCATAAAAAAAAAAAAAGACCACATTAAGGGCCTGCATTAAAAGGAGAACAAATAAAATATTACATTTAAACAGTGGACGGACAAAAGGGGATAAATTACGAGGATTCTGAATTAGCAATTCAAAGCATTAAACATCAAAGTCCAAAGGAGCAGCAGCAGTACTCAGCACTAATTCAATTGGCGCCTTGTGTAAGTGATGATGCTAAGGCCTGGACTTGAATATAATACAAATGGAGCTGTATTTACGAAAATTGTCCTGCTGCCTTAGACTGAAGACATTTAGGCAAAATATAACGATAATACAGGAGAATTTAGGAAGTGGATCAGAGTAGCATTTCTTTTTCAAATGCATAATTAGACAGCTGCAGAGAAACAAAGCCGGCACTTAAATCCGAGTGGGGAGTTTTTTTTTTATTCCTTTTATTTACAACAAGATTGTGTTAACTGTGTTAGAAAATCCATCTGTATTCTCGTTATTTTCATAAATGCAGATTTCAAGTCCATCTAAGCTCTTGCTTGTACACCCCCCTCTGAGCATCATCCAGAGTTTGGCATTTACATACATTCAGATGCAGACATTATAAACAAAGGTAATTAGATTTATAGTATTGATACATAACAGTTTTGTTTTATCATTCCGACGTCATGTCAACTGGCACCAAATGAGACTTAACGTATGAACATGGTTACATACCCTTTTCTGTACTTTGTATTTCCTCCTATATATATATATATATATATATATATATATATATATATATATATATATATATATATATATGGTATTTTATTTTGTTTTCCACTTTCAAAGTTTGGCTGATGGTGACTTTTAGGAGCACAAATGGTGCACAGGGACTGATGTGTTCACAGTAAGAAAACAAAAACAAAAAAAAATGGCAGAAGATCAAAATATCAGTGAAGCCACAAATTAGTTGCGGATGCTGCAACAGAGAGTTTCAGCATCATATCTTAAGATTACTGGTGTGCCAAGCACTGAGAATGATTCATTCCCAATGCTGCGACAATGGCTCAGGCCCATAAAACGCTGTCAATCTAAATGATTTCACAGTGGAATACAAGTTATTTCAGTGTCAAATCTTTTTTTTTATTTTTATTTTTTTTATTATAGTTTTATTGCATTATTGAAAAACCCCTTCTTGTATTTTCCATAAGTAGAACCTAAAAGTATGAGAGCATTATTAGGAGTAAAAATACAGCATTTTTTTTTTTGAGAAAAGAACAGAAACTTGTGCATTATTAGTAATATAACAGCATGTCTATAAAAAAACTTAATAGTAAAAAATAAAAAACTGACAAATCATGCAGTAAAAAATTGGTGAAAACGAGTGCCTTGAGTATAAGAGACAAAATAGGATTTGTTCACATGTCACAAAAGCTTTATATCATGTTAGCTTTACAAAAGCAAAAAAAACAATCATTAGCCATAGCATTAAAAGGTATAACCTTTTAAAAATGAGAGCTTTCAATTGTTGCAAAAATTTCACAATGTTTTCTAATCTTAATGTACCTTTGCGCCATAAATGAGAATCTGGGCCATTTGGCCTCTACACTGGAAGTTACATTTGCTATTTCTTTTCTTTATCCAGAAGACGAATTAAAGACAAGATTAGGAAAAGACAGTTGCAGGATTTAATGAACTGATTGAAGGTTTGATAAAACTTGACAGAATCAGAGAGCTGGAAAGCGGCATTCAGGCAATCTGCTCAATGCAATGTGGCGACTAACAGATACTGCTCATTTCACCCCAAGGCAATTTGTAAATCTGCTGTTTTGGTAATTTTATACCAGACTTTTCTTTCTTTTTTTTGAAATCTGTATTTTACTATTTGATGTTTCATATAATCCATGAATCAATTTGTATCTCTCAGGAGGACGTTTTAAACCTACTCTTACAATTTTCTTTTTTCTATATTTTCCTTACAGCTTATTGTACAAAATGTGGTTATACAACTCCAGAGCATAATATCTAATTGCATTTCACAAGACAAACGGATCCCATTTATAGACAGCAATATTTAAACAAGATTATCCAATAAGATACTTTGAAATTTGATTACATACATTTATATCCAATCAAAACGATGAAGTGCAGTTCAGTTTATAATCTGATTTACTCAAAAAGAGAATGCCATCAAAAGAAACCATGCAGATTATATCAAGTCATTGACTTTGCAGCAATTCCTCATCCTGAACAAACATGTGGTAACAGCGGAAATGGACAATATGATTTAAACAAGAAGATACCTCCAGTAAAACTTTGCCCACGATCATTGGGAAGTAGAAGTTGATTTGAATAATTTATATTTGAAAAGAAATATCCAGATCATATGCTGGACAAAAAGCTCCCGCTTGATGACAAAGCTTCACACTCCTTTCTAAACTTCCCCTCAGGCCCCTTAAACAACCCTTTGATCATAGATTTAGGAGAGGGGTCAGAAAAAGAGGGATTTTGTCATCATGATGAAGAACTTCCAGGTTGATTTGCAACCTTGTGACTCAGTATGCTGATTCCCAAATCAATGACTTTATACTCTACATACCTATTTACATTGACACACATAAACAAATTAAAGGTCTGATCAGATGAAAAATGTGTCATTTAAACAATTCGGACTGAAGATCCTAATTAGATTTGGTCGTATTGGAAAGACATTTCATTCCAGTTGAGAGATGGACACAGATCGCCATTCCGATCTGCTTCCATGCACACACCCATTCTGATCTCCTCTGCGCAAGTGTGCAACATCAGTGAGAGTTTTTTCCCTTGACTAAGCTTCATTCATTGGCTCCTAGTCCTCCTTGGTGGAGGAGAGGACATGCCATCCCACCCTCTACCTCTGTAGCAAAAGGAGGCCTAGCATAAGGTACTGTGATGCCCAAAAACAAATGTATGATGCAACGAAGGTCCATAGTGAAAAAAAACCCCACAAGACTGCAAAACTGGAGAAAAAAAAATGTGAGGGGGAGTGTGGGAACAAATTTAGATGAAGTTATATCATATTTACTGATTTCTAATACATTTTATGCTTTTATACTGAAATATGTCTTATTATGCAATGACCCCAGAGTGGCCTTTGTACTTCTATGCTGAGTGTCTTTGCAGAAGCGGGGTAGCGAAACTGCACTTGCTGACTCACCCCACACAGGTGAGCTCTGTTTTAATGAATGTATAGTCTTTTATCCCAAGATGAACCTTTGGAAAGCACTTATGCTTGTGTTATGTAGATAGCGCTGCTGCCACTTTAACCCATCCTTAAGAGCAGCAATGGTCATGTAAATAGGGACCTCCAAATATGAAATAAAAATAAAGGTTTCCGCAGAGTGTGCTTTAGAGCGGTAGGAGATTGTAACTGAACACATCTCTGTCCTTTCTCCTCTTGAGTAAAAAGAATCTAACGTCTGTTGTCCTTCTTCCTCAGGTTTTTTGCTAAGTGTTTGGGTGCTTAAATCTAATAGGCAGGCACAAAGAGAAGCTAATATAGAGGATGAACCAACAAGTACGGTTTTTCTTTACAAAACAGGAAGTTTCTCCTTATACTACTAAAGTGTTTCTGGAAAACTAGACAGATCTGCGCATGCTGTAAGGGTTTAGTCATAATCGGGTTATTTTATTTAGTGTCCATGTAGCAATAGATTCTTAACTTCTGATCAACCAAGATTTAAACTAGTTTGGAGAAATTTTACACATGTAAACATAGCTACTAAATAACACATACATCCTCATCTGAGTAGTGATTCAATTATATCATGGTCACTATGTTGCAGTGCAAAATCAAACAGTTTCAACTACCACTGGGACCCATTAAACAGGCTGATATCTGACCAAATATCCAAAATAAAGCAACATTAACTGCAGATGAAAGAGGAAATACATTACAGAAAAGCAACTACCTTAAATTAAATTCGATTCACAACAAAATATGCCATTCAGAAATTGAACAGATTTGTCTTTACTGATGAAATGTATTTAATTAGGTATAATTTTGTGTTCATTATTAATATTTTTGTTAAACTATGGGACTTTTAGACCATCATACCTAGCTTCAGGGGTAGTATTATCGCTGAACAGGATTAATTTTTTCCAATCCAAGTTAAAACCGTGTGTCATCACGCTTGCTCCGTTGATTCCAATTAAAAATTAGGAGAGGAAGGCTTCTTGTTTTAGAACTACACTCATGCCTGAAGATGTATTACAAATACTCTGCAGAGCCTCTCTTCAATTCTAATGTGGAGGCAAGATTGGATTTGCAGAGTTCGCTCCATGAGTTGAAGGTGAAATCCCCACCCTGGAAGGTAATCAAAGTTGTGGTGTGTTTTTTTAACAAGCTCCGAGGGTTGATTCTTGGCAAGCATGGTTTCATCTGGAAACTTAAAGGTAACAAGGTAGGAGAAGGCTGTTTAACGCTAATAAAAATCCTGCCCTTCATTCAAATCAAGGGCATGTGATGCGTTAGTCAGTGGGTTCCCATCAAGCTGGAAGGCATGTAAACTGGCATCCACACACGAGAGACAAATTCAAGATGCATTAGTAAAGCTTGCTTGTCTTCAATAACAAAACAATAATTCTGTGGTAGGTTATCATGAGTGGGAGTGGGCAGGCTTCTCGCTGGGGGGGACCAAAACACATCCAGTCTGACCCGCTTCCCAACATGCAGAAAGCATAATCACGTACCACGCAATCAGATGCATACATTCTCACGCATATAAGCAGTGGGAAAGCCTGAAGTTGGTTCCTGCCGTAGAGGATGTCTTTAGACCATCCTTCATGGGCCCTGTGATCCCCTCTCGCTGTGATCACATGATGATGGATGGAGGGATGGAGTAATGGAACAGAAAAAAAGGAGACCTTGTTCTCTCCCATTAACTCCGCCATCACCTTTCTCCCCGAGCCTGTCGATGTGCCGCTT